AACAACCTGTCCTTCACTGCAAACATCGCTGCTACAACCCGTTGCTGCAGATACACGCTTTACAACATCAGGAAGATACGTCCCCAGCTGACACAGAAAGCGACGCAGGTTCTGGTCCAGGCTCTCGTCATCTCACGCCTAGACTACTGCAACTCCCTCCTGGCTGGTCTACCTGCATGTGCCATCCGACCTCTGCAGCTCACCCAGAATGCAGCGGCTCGCCTGGTCTTCAACCTTCCTAAATTTTCCCACACCACTCCGCTCCTCCGCTCCCTTCACTGGCTTCCGGTAACTGCTAGAATCCACTTCAAGACACTGGTACTTGCGTACCATGCTGCGAATGGATCTGGCCCTTCGTACATCCAGGACATGGTTAAACCGTACACCCCAGCGCGTGCACTCCGCTCTGCATCAGCCAAACGACTCGCTGCACCCTCGCTGCGAGGGGGATCCAAGTTCCCATCAGCAAAAACATGTGGGTTTGCTATCCTGGCTCCAAGATGGTGGAATGAGCTCCCCATTGACATCAGGACAGCAGATAGCTTACACACCTTCCAGACTGAAAACTCATCTCTTTCGACTCCACTTCGAGCGATAGAACTATTAACAAAGCACTTATATACTAATAAAGGACTGGCTTATCTAAAGCCAGTTGAGTAGCACTTGAAATGTTTGGCTTTATGAAACCTGATGTACTTATATGATTTTGTTTTCTTCAAGGTTGTGTCTTCCTGGTCGAATGTACAAGTTTATTGTAAGTCGCTTTGGATAAAAGCGTCAGCTAAATGCAATGTAATGTAATGCAGGCGTTTACCGTGAGAACCTCCCTCAGATGCTCGAATTTCGTCCCCACTGACCGCCAGAGGCGGCCGAGGCAGGAGGGGCAGCGGTCGTGGCCGTCCTCGGGCTCAAGAGAAGCCATACAGGCGCTACATGAATGAGCCATTTTGTAGGTAGCCAGATGCAGCGTAGCCGGGAGCGGGTGCGGGAACACCGCCTTCACCAGCTACCTGCTTAATGGAAAGAGTAGAGCGTTGCTGCTACTCGCCGAACAGAAAGAGGGATGTAATTACACCCACGTTACCGGCAGAGGGAGCGGGAGCGGGAGCGAGAGCACTGCCTTCACTGATTGAGTTAGAGACGAATGCCAGATGCAGCGTAACCGGGAGCGGGTACGGGAACACAGCCTTCACCGGCTACCTGCTTAACGGAAAAACGAGGCAGTTCAGCGTCTACCAGGAGCGGGGGCGAGAACTGCCTTCACTGGTTGAGTTAGAGACGAACGCCAGATGCAGCGTAACCGGGAGCGGGTGCGGGAACACAGCCTTCACCAGCTACCTGCTGAACGGGAAGAGTAGAGCGGTGCTGCTACTCGCTGAACAGAAAAAGGGATGTAGCTACATCCGCATTACCGGCAGAGGGAGCGGGAACGAGAGCACTGCCTTCACCTAGCTGGGTAAAATAAAGAAGCTTAACAGTACACGCAAGACGTTAGCCGAGCGGCTGCTGCTAACGATCAAGCGAGATCAAGTCAAATAACACACATGTTTAAGACCAGATAACTAGCTTCTAAAGAAGAGAACAGCACAGAGCCGTAGTTACAGCAGTAACCATGGCCAGTGCTCACACGGTACATAACCATAGTTACAGTAGTAACTATGGCCAGGCCAGTACTTACACGGCTTAGAACCGTAGTTACAGTAGTAACTATGGCCAGTACTTACACAGCATAGAGCCGTAGTTACAGTAGTAACTATGGCCAGTACTTACACAGCATAGAGCCGTAGTTACAGTAGTAACTATGGCCAGTACTTACACAGCATAGAGCCGTAGTTACGGTATTGACTATGGCCAGTACTTGCACGGCTTGGAACCGTAGTTACAGTAGTAACTATGGCCAGTACTTACGGCTTAGAACCGTAGTTACAGTAGTAACTATGGCCAGTACTTACACAGCATAGAGTCGTAGTTACGGTATTGACTATGGCCAGTACTTACATGGCTTGGAACCGTAGTTACGGTAGCAACTATGGCCAGTACTTACACAGCATAGAGTCGTAGTTACGGTATTGACAATGGCCAGGACTTACACGGCTTGGAACCGTAGTTACAGTAGTAACTATGGCCAGTACTTACACAGCATAGAGTCGTAGTTACGGTATTGACTATGGCCAGTACTTACATGGCTTGGAACCGTAGTTACGGTAGCAACTATGGCCAGTACTTACACAGCATAGAGTCGTAGTTACGGTATTGACAATGGCCAGGACTTACACGGCTTGGAACCGTAGTTACAGTAGCAACTATGGCCAGTACTTACACAGCATAGAGTCGTAGTTACGGTATTGACTATGGCCAGGACTTACACGGCTTGGAACCGTAGTTACAGTAGTAACTATGGCCAGGACTTACACGGCTTGGAACCGTAGTTACAGTAGTAACTATGGCCAGTACTTACGGCTTAGAACCTTAGTTACAGTAGTAACTATGGCCAGTACTTACACCGCCTAGAGCCGTAATTACGATATTGACTATGGCCAGTACTTACGCGGCTTGGAACCGTAGCTACGGTAGTAACTGTGGCTGGTGCCTAAAAGTGTCACCAAATGGCTGCCCACTAGATAATAGAATATTGGGAGGATGAAATCCTCTTTAATGGCCACACATGCAGAGCACACATCACACAGTGAAGATTGTTCTCTGCATATCGTCCTAGTGCTAGGAGTCTAGTACTAGGAGCAGTAAATACAACGATATAGCGCTACTGCAACTATACCGTGCGTTTACCGGGAGCGGGAGTTAAATAATGAAGCTTAACAGTACATGCAAGGTGTAATTAGCTTCTAAGAAAGAGAACAGCCCGCATAGAACCGTAGGCCATGGTTACAGTAGTAACCGCCAGGCTTGGAATTTCGTCATTTTAGGGGCAAGGCCATTTGGCCTTCCCGTTCACATTTTTTTTAAGGGCACAAAGGCCACATGACAGGGCACAAAGGCCGTTTGGTTAAATTACGCTGGTCAATCAACATGACAGAAAAGTGTAGCACTAACGTCAACACCAGTCGTTTTACAAATGGCTGAATAGCAATAGTGTTTCTTTAACGTATACGTTAAGTTCAGCCATAAACCACATAAGTCAGTCATGTATTATATCAAAACCGCTTAGCAAGAAAAATACTAGATTCAAAGGTGACAGCTATCTGCTAGCTTGTAGAAGCAACACTAGATGTAGACCCATTGAAGGGAAGACGTTAGCGCTATCCAAACTAGCTAGCTATCGCTATTTTTCATGAGAAATGTAACGAGTCGACTTTAAATAGGCTAATACAATGGTAATTACCTATCAATAGTACTTTCTATAAACACGTAAATGTTAAGTCCTTTCAAATACTACCACATACTTCAGTTAAATCATATCAAAACAGCTTGGTCCGCTTGCTTACCTGTGCTTGTCTTGCTCCCGCGGCTGAGGAGGAGGCTGTCGGGCCCCTACAGGCATTTCTGACGGAACAATCACAGCAGAGCAATCGCTCTGATCCACAGGCACGGGACTATCCTACTGCGCGCACTAATATGACTTCACTCACGTTGTTTACACTGGAACTTTTTGACAGGGGCACCAAGGCCACTTTGGCCGTGAATTGCATTTTTTTTCACAGGGCATCACGGCCAAAGTGCGGGCCAAAGTCGGCCATGGCCGTGAAATTCCCACCCTGGTAACCGCACATGCAGAGCACACAGCACCCGCAGTGAAGATTGTTCTCTGCATATCATCCAAGTGCTAGGAGTCTAGTACTAGGAGCAGTAATACAACGATATACCGCTACTGCAATCAAACCCTATGCTACCGGAAGCGGGAGCACTGCCCTCACCGGCTGAGTTAATAATTAAGCTTAACAGCAAGGTGTTAGCCAAGCGGCTGCTGCTAACAATCAAGCGACCAAGTCAGAACACAAATGTTAAGACCAGATAATAGCTTCTAAGAAATAGAAAGTACTTACCTTACTCTCTGCATCTAAACGAAAAACGGGTTTAAAATATGCCACTCTGGGCTTTCCATACTAAATTGAATGAGGGACACAGCCAAAGCTGGGACTCAAATGCTAATGATAGCTCGGGCACAACGCCACAAGCAGAACTTTCAAAAGAGCATAAGGGCAACTTTATGGGAGAGGAAGCGGGAACACTGTCGTCACCAGAAAGCCAAACAAAAAATAAGACAGCAATCAGGACAACTTGGCTGGGAGAGGGTGCGGGGACACAGCCATCACCAGCAACAAGCTGACACCAACCTGTCTGTCGAGGCTCTGCACAGCCGGCCACAGCTCCTGGAGGACGCGTTAACGACCCGTAGCTCCGACTGTCAGTCACGAAGCTGCACGCGGCCAGCTGCTTGCAGAGAAATCCCTCAGATCAAACGTTCAAACCTGAACGCTGTAGGCTACAAAAATGTAGCCACGGTACCCTCGCGCAGCGAGAAGATGAAAGGAACAGATCCTCTGACGACACCGGCTGATATAGCCGGTGTCACGTGGGTCACAGGTGACTTTGTTGGTATTGGTACTCGAGCTGCGCATGCGCGCGATGGACATATCCAGTGCTTAAAGCACCGCCTCTGGCGGTCAGTAGGGACGAAATAGAACACACAAGAGGACGGGTAATAACCAGAAAAGCATGATATGGGACCTTTAACTTCAACATTTAAAAAATAATCTTCCCTGGGGAGCATGCCCCCGGACCCCCCTGGAGGAGGTTAGTACCCCCCTAGAGGAGGATAGGTCCATCCCCCACTTAAATCATGTTTACATGGATAGGTTGCTAAATACATTTGCACACATCTTGTGTCCATATCTTTCTGTTTGGGTGGTCATGCCACACCGTGCACGTGCATGCGCAAGTCATAGTGATCTTAATGTGGATGAGGCACACTGATCACATTTCTTTTTAAATGGCACTTCATATCCAAAAGGTTGCTACCCTGCTTTAAAGAGACGCCTTACCTCCATATTCCACCTCAGGAGTTTCTAGTTCTTCATCTTCCCGTTGCTCCGGAGCGGAGACGATATCTGGAGCGATGTTTGGTTTTCCTGCTTCCTGTTTACTTTCCTCTGTTTCCTTCAGGGACTCCACGGATATTTCGTCGGCATTCCCGTTTATTCCCGGAGTTTTTAGGCAGTCCACCAAACAGACCGACAGCCGCTTGAAGCCGAGCGGAGACATGATCTCCATCTGCAGACTGAAAGAAACGAGATTCAAATGTAAAAGAAAACCAGGCCACATCTTTAAAAAGGTTTCACTGCTGTGATACTTTTGTTGCATTTATATTATTTTCATAACATATCTTTTTTAACTAGATTTACCAGCATTTGCTGCGCCTCGTTTTATGTTTTCTGTGGTGGGAAGCACTTTGTGACTTTTAAAAAGATGTGCTTTAGATCTCAAGTTCTCTCATCATTATTGCTTGTTCTACTTTTAGGCACAATTTATATACATTTCATTTAATATTCCAATCCCCACACTTAATGTAAATAATATCCTGCTTTATATTGTGTCGAAAGCCCTTCAATAGGGTTTTAATGTCAGAGTTCTTGATTTCTTCTGAAAGGAAACAACATTCAAATGTAAAAGAAAACCAGTAATAAGCCAACACAATGCTGTGAGCATCTAAAGCAGGGTAAACCTCCGGACCATTTGGTACGGCCCTCGAGGTAATTTATACACACACTCAAAAAAGAAAAAAATTAAAGAAATGTAGACTGCAAAATAATTAAACAAGCGGGTGCCTGTTTTTCAGGATGCACTTAAAGGTGGGTCATGTTGGGGAAACCGGCTCGAGTGGCGAGAATTAGAAAATACACAACCGGAACAAATCTGCCCCTTCCTCACAGAGCCCCTCCTCCAACACACAGGAACGCGCACATGACCAATGAGGGCACGAGATCAGTTTGTGCCCAGATGGAAGGCTGACAGGCAGGTAGGCCATCCAGTTACTTTAGCCGGCTCAGATGATTGGTCGAGCTTTCTACAGCGCCACGGCTTCAAAGCACTTCAGATATTCATTGCTATCAGGATGTTAAGAGCATTCCATGGAATATAATAACAAGTGTTTCTCCAGCCGGTTTCTCAAACTTACCTACCTGTAAGTTTTTCTCAGATTCTCGTATTTTTTTCTCATAATTTAACTTTACTATCATAGTAATTAATTTTATATTGCAAATATATTTCACAAATAAAATAAAGCAGTCAACATCTCCATCAGCCATCTGAAAGTAACAAGATTCTACCAGTACTAAGAAAACGACAGTTAGCATCAAATGCAAATCAAGCAATAATGCAGTTATTCATATTGTAATATAAATATACATGTGACGAATATACACTCAAGTATTAACACTATGAACGGTATAAGGCAGTGGTTCCCAAACGTTTTCAGTCGGCCCCCATTGGGTAATTGGAAATATTTCCGCCCCCCCCCCCAACCCAGTTCCCATCTATATTGGTAGGATGAATTGTATATTGTTGTAAAAACATTACATTTTCTCTGCTAATAATAAGAAGATACAAAGTTCCAACTATAATATTATGGATTACACATGAACTAAAGTGCTTGTAATAGATACTGTGAATTAATTTGGCCTAATTAAAACTAGTAGGCCTTCTTCCCTGAGTAGTAGATTTTTAAATTTAAATGTCTTTAAGGAAAATATATGAATGAACACTTAACTACTATTTCTACTGCAGGTTGCAAACGATCACATCACTTTACCATTCCACACATAGTCTATCAATGACTTGCGTGTGCTTGCTGTCCCTCGCAGATCTTCTCAAAGCGGGGCTGTTGTTTTGAGACTGCCCCTCAGTTCATTCTCAGTTCAGCTTTGATCTGTATTTGGTTTTGATGGCAGCAACAGCAGAAAAGCCTCTCACACAAGTAGGGTGTTGCAAAAGGCAGCATTATGCCCACAGCTCTCTGACCAATGACACATGTTCGAGCAGTGTTTATTTACAATGTCATCCCGCGCCCCCATACAGTACCTCCGCGAACCACCAGGGGTCGCACCCACAGAAAACCACTGGTATAAGGCAATATAAACAGAAGTATAAACAAATAATACACTATAGATCAGGTATAGATAAGACAGTATCATACAGACACAATACAGAATAAATATAAACATATTATAGACCGCTACAGACCTTTTTAAATCATAAATATACCTGAGGAACATTATGCTGCATTTCCATTGTTACCATTTACTTCAGCTAACCTAGCATTACATTGGAGGCTCAAACCGATGCTAACGTTAGCTCTTTACAGCTTCTGTCCACGTGTAATCCATACTTTACCTTCTAGTATGAGTTGTTTAACTGTTTTTAGTGAACTTAAACTGTCTCTAAACATTATAAAACATGTTGAAAACACCGTAAAAACGTACCAAATGGAGATAGAGTCCAGTGTTTTCGGCTGTTAAACACGGATATCCGATCGTAAATAAGAGTAAACTGGTGTCGTTATGCTCTCTGTTTGTGTAACTGGTTTCCCGCCGTGTTCTGACGGTGATAAACTCCAGAAAACACGATTAAAAACAGGATAAAACATCCGAACAAGAAGCCGTGGAGGAATCCTCAAACAAAAGCTGCTTGGCATTTACTTCCGGGTTAAACGAGTTGGTCAACCAATGGGCTTCGAAAAACCTACAAATGGGCGGGATCTTTAATACATTTAGCGCCAATCGCTGACGGGCCCTCGCTTAGGACATAAATAGGACATAACGCTTTTTTACCTGAAATACTTTATTTACTGATTGCCTTTAAATTACGCTCACATAAAAATTAAAGGCATGATATTTGATTAAAAACCCCCATTAGTTGTGGGTATACTGTGAAGACAAGTATATTAAAAAAGCATGGAAAGTGGATTTTAACTTTAACTCCTCCTTGTGTCACTAGATGGAGCCATATGATCATTTACTGTGAGTTTGATTTCAATAAATAGATTTAAATCACTTGAAAAATAAACTCTGGATTCACAAGACACAAGTTAAAGAGTAAAAAAAACAGAGTGAGGTTTTGAGAAAAAAAAATATTTTTAAATCTGCAAGAATTCCATTTAGAGCCTTCACACACAACGTGTCTGTTCCATATATACAGTCTATATTCATGGTTACATATTAATGATTTCACACTCTATTTATTTTGTCATATTTGCATACTTAATGTTTTAATATTATTATTTGGATTTGTTTCTAATAATTGTACTTTTCATAAGAATTTGAAATGTATTCCATAATTTTACTTCTTTCATATAATTTGCACATTTCTTTGAATTATATTTTCTTCTATAATTTGTGTTTTGTTTTTTTACAGAATGACTTTTGGACTTTTTCTCAGAATTGAATTTGTTTATTTACTTTAATTACTGTCAGGATGTGCCATTTTTTTATTTACAGTTATTAGTATTTGATGTTTGTACTGAGGCAACATTTTGACCTCAGCTTATTCCCCACTGAGCATTTAGCTCTCTCTCTCACTCACACACACACACACACACACACACACACACACACCACACATACACACACACACACACACACACGCACCCACGCACGCACACACGCACACACACACACACACACACACACACACACACACCACACACACACACACACACTCAACTCACTCACTCACTCACTCCACACACACACACACACACACACACACACACACACACACACACACTCACACACACACACACACACACTCACTCACTCACTCACTCACACACACACACACACACACTCACTCACTCACTCACTCACTCACTCACACACACACACACACACACACACACACACACACACACACACACACACACACACACCACACACACACACACACAGGAGCTGAGCTGTCTGCTGCCCTGCAAAGATTACTGAGGTTTACATCCTCCTCCTCTGTCATCTAAACATATTTGACAAGTTAATACCCAGGTAGACACAACTGCAACACACACACACACACACACACACATACACACACACACACACACACACACACACACACACACACACACACACACACACACACACACACACACACACACACACACTGCAGTAAACAGTAGAGATATAAGGAGGAGGTAGGAAGGAAATGTAGGTGGATGAAAGGTAAGGAAGGAGTGAATTAAGGAAGGAATGTAAGAGTAATTGCATAGGGATTAGTAAGGAAACGGAGGAACAAAGAAGGAAAGGAAGGAAGGAAAGTTACATACATTGGATTTGGTGACAATCGCTCCACTTTAGAATAAAGTAAATAACTCTGTCCCTAATGCTACTTTTCCTTAGTCATCACTCCCTTCATATCTCTCACTTTCTCTCTGTGTTCTCTCTCTCTGACACTAATTGGCTTCTGATGCATTTTTAATGTTCAGCCACCACGTGTGTGTGTGTGTGTGTGTGTGTGTGTGTGTGTGTGTGTGTGTGTGTGTGTGTGTGTGTGTGTGTGTGTGTGTGTGTGTGTGTGTCTGTGTGTGTGTGTGTGTGTGTGTGTGTGTGTGTGTGTGTGTGTGTGTTGCCGTTTGAAGTAAATGTGGTGAGTGGATGTCTTTCAAAGGGAAGATGAATAAAAGTATGCAGTAAGTAGAGTTTCCGTATTAAATAAGGGAACAGCAGAAGAAGACAGGAAAGACTTAGGGAAGAAAGCTTTCAGATGTGCAGCTCCACTAACTTGGAACAGTCTGCAAAAAGAATGGAAAATTACCAAGCTAGTACCACTACATGTTTTTAAAGCTCGGTTGGATGCTACTCAATCAGATGCTGTTGGAACCTGTACTTGTGGTTAGATATGTAAATTGTAATCCCTGTACATTTTGCTGAATGATGTCTTTTGTTGTTCTGTTGTTTGTCTTCTTGTGGAACCTACTGCTGCAGGTCTCCCTTGAAAAAGAGATCATTGATCTCAATGGGATTTTACCTGATAAATAAAGGTTTTGAATTGAATTGAGGAAGTAAACACTAAAGGGAACAGCAGAAGAAGACAGACAGGAAGTAAACACTAAAGGGAACAGCAGAAGAAAGACAGACAAGAAGTAAACACTAAAGGGAACAGCAGAAGAAGACAGACAGGAAGTAAACACTAAAGGGAACAGCAGAAGAAGACAGACAGGAAGTAAACACTAAAGGGAACAGCAGAAGAAGACAGACAGGAAGTAAACACTAAAGGGAACAGCAGAAGAAGACAGACAGGAAGTAAACACTAAAGGGAACAGCAGAAGAAGACAGGAAGTAAACACTAAAGGGAACAGCAGAAGAAGACAGACAAGAAGTAAACACTAAAGGGAACAGCAGAAGAAGACGGACAGGAAGTAACACTAAAGGGAACAGCAGAAGAAGACGGACAGGAAGTAAACACTAAAGGGAACAGCAGAAGAAGACAGACAGGAAGTAAACACCTAAGGGAACAGCAGAAGAAGACAGGAAGTAAACACTAAAGGGAACAGCGTAGCATAGCATAAATGCTATGAATGAACCCTGGATGTGTGAATATTTAATAAAAACCTTCAAACAACACAGTAGCCTATGTCTTAAAGGATAATAAATCAAGTGCTGTGCAACTGTGTGAGTCTACAAGAAGATCAATGGGCCAAGCAGGACGTTTGCACACATGATTATTGAACATTTCTCAAGTATGATAGGAAACAGAAGATGAATTACGGAAGATGCTGTCAGTGGTTTTTCACAGAACCATGAAGTGTGTTTTCATAAATACAGCGTATGGTTTGATTCATTATTCTTGCATGTGTTACAGTTTGTGAAACATTGCTTCTATTTTATTATTCATGTTAGCTTCTGTCCTCGTTTCCAGTCTTTATGCTAAGCTAAGCTAACTGGCTGTTCCTGTACTTCCATATTTTGACAACTATCCGGTAGTCAACATGTCGGTTATGAATTAGTGACGAAAACAGATTCAATTTACGAGTTACCATTTGACAACATGTTTGAATTAAGAAAACATTTAACTACACAAATTGTGTGAAAATGAAATAGGAAAAAAAAGATAAAGAATCTAAATAAATCACTTTAATGGATAAATGTAGAAACAAATAATAAAGAACAGGAAATATTAATTTAAAAAATGACAGAAATCCACCGAATGGAAAACGAGGAACAAAAACAAGAACATATTAATCATAGAACGGAATATATAATTTAATCGATGACAGGATTCCATTTGACAAAACAAAACAAATGAGACAGGTACCGAAGAAAACATAATTATCATGGAAATTACTTTGTTTCAAATGACACTTTTGTTTGCATCATTACACACGCGCTGTGTGTGTGTGTGTGTGTGTGTGTGTGTGTGTGTGTGTGTGTGTGTGAAACAAACAGGTACATTCCACAGTTCATTTCAGTACGAATGGGAGCAGAGTGTGTTTACAAATGTGTTACCTGGAGGCATTTCAGTAATCATTTTAATAACTATTTTCCCCCTGTGCCTTCGCTTGAATGTGTTTTTAATTGTGTGTGTGTGTGTGTGTGTGTGTGTGTGTGTGTCTTCAAAGTCTCCAACTTCCCAAAAATGTCCTTACTTGCCTAACTTACTGAAAAAAATCCATGTCATGGTCCTTGTTTTTGTATATGACCTCGATTTATTATCTACATTTCTGAAAAGTAACAGTTACTTAACACAAAAGACGTCACTTTCCAACGATGTCAAATACCAAAAGTCATTATTTTCAAGGTCCAATACCTTAATTAACTCTGCCAAAAGACACACACACACACACACACACACACACACACACACACACACACACACACACACACACACACACACACACACACACACACACACACACACACACACTCACACACACACACACACACACACACACACACACACACACACACACACACACACACACACACACACACACACAAAGGCGTACACCTTTGAAGAATTATCCTCCAGCAGGACATTTTAATTAAAGGACCACATCAGTAGTTCTGCATGTTTTGTAGCTTCAAGGCAGTCAATGGTTTTCAGCCGATATCAGAACACAATTAGAGCTCAGTTTTAAAGCATTGGTTTACACAGTACAGAAAAAGGACATTTTGTATAGCTGTTACGTATCCTGGTTAAAGAGGTACACCCTCTCCTGTAGTGTGTTCTATAGGTTGTAGTGCATGTTAATGGTCTGCAAAGGCTAAAATCCCAAGTCCCAAACCAATCAGAGCAGACTGGGCTCTGGTTTCAGACAGAGGGTGAAAATAGGTTCTGCAGCACAAGCAGTATGAGTATTATATGAGACAAAAACACTTACTGTAGTTTGGTGTATTCAGTGAAGTACAATTACATATGAGAAGCATGTTTTTAAAGTTGAAAAGGTTACGCAAAAGTTCAACTTAGCCTTGAATAATGTACGTCTGTGGATTAAATCAACTAAAGGCATCTGGACTAAATATTCATCCAGAGATATATCCCCACAGAGCAGAGGTGGGAAGTGCAGTACAAAACAAAAAGAGTTTCATACATTGTTGTCTCACTGGATGGGGGGGGATTACCATTAGGGGGATATTGAATGTTTCTGAAGGCTTCCTGGGATTTGTTTACAGACTCAGGATCTGTTGGGCTCATGCATTATGAATGGTTTGAA